ACCAGGGGGGCGGGGAGCGGGCCCAGCCCTGCTTCCTGGGTTGGGAGCCTCGGTGCGTCGACCTTTCGCCCTGGTCCTGGGCCCGCGTGGAGGACGCGGCAGTCCCTGCTCTTGGGCGGAAAGGGGAGCGATGCCTGTAGAGGTCAAGGGTGTGCAGGGGCCTCGCTGGTCTCTGAGTGCAGCGGAGGCGAGTTAATTGAGAAGATGTTGGTAACATTTTCGCCCTAGTCCAGGAGCAGTCCAAATGAGAGGTTCTGTCCTAAAGCTATCTTGGGGGAACTTATAGGCATATATGCAAAGCCCGTGGACACAGACAATTTGGTGAAGGCCCGAGGGTGGGGGTTTGCGGGGCGGGGGTAGGATGGAGGGAGTCCATGGGGAAACAGAGGGAGGAACATCTGTAATACTTTCAACAATAAAGACGTTCTTTTAAAGGTATCTTGAGACCCCCTGGTCCACAACTTATTTCTTTTTAAAAGACTGCCCACCCACACACGTGTCTGCCTTTCTTATCTTCATTCATAAAGCAGGTATTTGACAGCCCACTATGCGAGGAGCACTACCTACCAGGATGGCTTGAAGCTCGGGAACTGAGTAACCCAGACAGGGGCAGACATTGGTATGATTTGCAGGTGACTCATTCATGTCCAGATCGCTCCCGTTTTGAAGATTATGTAAGGTCCAAAATGCAGCTCTTCCAAGAAACAAAATATCCACTACTCGCTCACAGGGAGGGAGGCTTGTCACTACTGAATGAAGTAAGGTTGAATGAATACAAAGAAAATTCATTAGAAAGTAGATTGAGAAAAATGATCAAATGTTGCAGAACATTGCTGGAACAGGAGTCAGACTGCTGACTGATAGCTATTATTAATGAAAATGACAGCATGACGTCCTGAACACTTCTAAAAGCCTTGTTCCTCAGGGCACTAAACGTCTTGGAAATAACGTGTAATACTATCAACAATAAAGATATGAAAAGGAAAAAAAAATTAAACTCTTGGAAATAGATGTATGTACCCTGTACACTTTAACCTTACTGTTATTTTTGCCCCAATGCCTACCAGCAACTTTCTGTTTATACAGAAAGAGAACACCTTTATACTCAATGCATCTTTCATCATCTGGGGGAGAGAAGCACAGAGGACTGAACAAAGGATTAGGAAGGCAGAGGACAGCCAGTGAAGTGGTCAAGTACAGCCTGCTTATTGGCCTTGAGACCAATTTTCCTTCCCTTGTAAATGTCCCTTAGACCGGCACTGTCCAATAAGATAGCCACATGTGATTATTTAAATGAAGTACAATAAAAACTTACATTCCTTTTTGCAGTAGCCATATTTCAATCTTCAGTAATTATAAGTTGCTACTGCGAAAGACAGCACATATATTTAGAACTTTTCATCATCAAAGTAAGTTCTGTTGAACAAGTGGTAAGCACTATAAGAATTTCAAGGATAAAGTTGATAAATTGTGAATAGCTTTTGTTAAAGAATAGCAGTTAAAAGATTACAACACGATGAAGAGTGTGACAGAGTGTTACAAAATAGGCTTATTAAAAAAGTAATCCAATAAGCTTCTCCCCAGTGTTGGTGTGTGTTTTTCTTGGCTCTCGAGTTGGTGTCGGTTTCTCCCTCTGTCTGTCAAGGTTTCTTTCC